AGACGTTCACGTGCAGACGTTCAAACACCTTTTCAGCTGGTGGATACATTTGTGCTGCTGCTGCATTTTGCAGCGATAGTTTCACGGCATGTTTTGCAAAGACTGCATTTTGTTCGACATCCTCCTCGTGAAATCCGAACGACATGCATCTGCAGCATGGGTTACATGCAGACAGCTTAATATTTCCATGGCAACCTGTACTCAATGGTTCCCATAAAGCCACTTTAACCATTGCACGTGGAAAAACCTGCGATACTTTGAGTATATTCGATATATTGCACACCCAGTGAGTGAAACAAAGCCTGAAAATGTCATCACATTCAACTGAGTCTGCAAATACTTAGTCGGGTAAGTAAGCCCTGACTTACAGCTTCTCCATGGAACAGGCTACACAGTAGAAGCAGATCCAGCAGCACAGCAGGCTACGAGCACGTCAGTCGCAAGAAGCACGTGCAGATTTAGGATGTTTGAAACCGTAGGTTCCTCTAAGTGAGAGTACGTCTTTCTGTGTTCTCCACTCTTCTTCAAGACATGTCCATCTTTGGCCTCTACCCTGGCCATGACGACTTCTACCTGGTGGTTTGCAGCCATTGCGGGCAGGTCGTGAAGCCACAGGCCTTTGAAAAGCACTGCGAGCGGAGACACGGGCCTGTGGCCAAGCTGTACGCCCGCTTACGCTCTCCCACCCCGGCACCGCAACCCCAACAGAGAAGCCATCACGGCCCCTCTCCTCCTCATGGGACCAACGCTGCTTCGTGGGAGGGTCGAAACCAGGGAGTCGGGCAGCTCCGGGCGGCTCCACCTTCACCCGTCACACCACCACAGTACAGATACTCGAAGACTTCCAAGGACGGAGTGCGGTAAGAACACAGTCCAGTCAAAATGTCCGAGCTTGATTAAAGCAATAATAGATGTCAGCTGTTCAGAGTGTAGTGGCTAGCTTGGATTGGACGTGCAATGATTTTGTTCGTCTAAATCCTCTGTACAAATGTTGTAATGTGTTCTTATATCTAATTGAAATGACAAACAGCGAGTGTTGGCCTCTCTTTGTAGCGAGTCATCCAAACCACACAGCAGCACATTAATGACTAACCTTTAAACCTGATGCTCTTTGTCACTGTGCTAATGTGTTTGCATTATTAGCCTAGCTCTGTAGCTGAAGCTCCAGTGAGCCATAGTCATAATCTTTGATCAGGTAACAGCAGAACCGTATGTTCTGGTGCATCATGTTAGATGGAAGCTAGCACCATAGATCCTCCATGGATGCTGACTGTAGAATAACACCTGTCATAACAGCCAAGCTAAACCTTTTCTTGGGGATGAAAGGCTGTTGGCTGTTTTTGAACTCGGTGCTTGCTGGAGTCTGGGGACCACAGACAGGGTTGCACCCAGAAATGAGGTGGGACTTGTCTGTGGTAGAATCTGTCTCAGCTCATCGCCGCTCGAGTTTTCTCTCAAATACACATTAGACTTTTTTATTTTCGAGTTTTGGTGAGTTGAAGTCCTTTGGCGTGTCCTGATGTGTGCTACGCTGTAACCTGCTCGTGGCAGCACCCGTGTCCAGCTGGTAGGAAAGGATTGGTGTTTGGAGAGAAGCCGGCATGAAAGTGGGCGTCTTCTTCAGTTCCTGACTTCCTGTCATACTTGGTGGAGCGTGGTGGATTATCATGTTAAAGTTATTAATCACTGAGTGTCGAGCTTACAGCTCAGTACAAAAGCCTCACACACCTTTCTATCCAAACCTTGTGTTTGCGACCAATCAGCACAGAGCTGTGTTCGAGAGACGAACACGTGATCTGAGCGAGCACAGCTAATGTAGAGCGCAGGACTGAAACATTAGAGCCCTCTTATTCACACATGGTTGTTTTTCATTGGCTACGATGACAAACTGTGAACTTCTTCTCTCGTCACCAAGACACTCCCCACTGGAGAAGTCCCACAGCAGTCACTTTGACTCTTCGGTATTCAAGCAGCCACCACCTCTCGAGCCTCCCATGAGCTCCCCACCTCCGTCTCTCAGAGATCCCCCTTGGCCACACGGAGCTACTCCGCCTGGTAGATCTTCACCCAGTGACAGGCACCCCACAGTGAGAAAGGATTCCACTCAAACCTCCGCTGCCACACGCCACCGCATCCCCAGACCCTACAACAAAGTGGCTTCCAGTGAGTACAAGTTCAGACGTGCAGGCAATAGAGAATGTAGATGTCAGTAGAAGTGTGGTGCGTTCCCGAATAAGTCGGAAGTCGATGCCAAGTTTTAAAGGTTTTTGTTTCCCACTCGGAAAGTCCGAGCCAACCAATCTGACCCGAGGTAGCAATCCAAGATGGCGGCACTGTTAAAACAAGCCGAGCGTCACTCCGAGCTATTCTGGAACGCTGCGTTCATGTGTCTGTGCGATGTCTTTGTTCTGTTTGAGTCTGCAGCCGGCGTCTGCTGACACACAGCGTGACGCGCTGTGATGCATGATGAAGGATCAGCCTGCCGAGTGCAGAGAGCGCAGCTGCAGCCGTCTGCAGACGGCCGTTTGCTTTCAAATAGAATGAAACCGTGTGGACAACAGACGTGAGCTTGTGCTGTCACACTGTGGCTCACGTGGCTTCTGTGTGTCCTCAGAGAGGAAGTGCGACTTGGACAAACACTGCGGCGTCCTTGACCCCGACAGGAAGAAAGTGTGCACCCGCCTCCTGACATGCAATGTAAGCAACACACACACACACACACACACACACACACACACACACACACACAGTCCCATGTTAGTGCTTCAGTGTGGGTAAGTACAGGGTGAGGCGTGCTGGCAGGCTGTGACCCAGTGACAGGGCAGCGTGTGGGCTTCGAGCCTGTCCGCCATGTTCAGCCCTCACGCACACTCATCATGCTGTTATCACTGAACGTTTGTGTAAACCTGTGTGTCACATGTCATTCTGTCATTGAAGTTGTCCTGCACAGCCGTGAGTCCTTTTTGTTTTCCACTGGATCCATCTCCTCAACAATGTGATATCAAATATGTGACAGTTTTCCACAGTGGAGAATCCCATCGTGGTCTTCACCACAGCTCTCCCACTTTCAAACTGGTGTGAGGTCCAGTCTGTCCCAAACTCGGTGTCTTTCCATCTCGTGTTGAGCTCTGGAAGCACCAATAAAGCCTATTCTTCATAATATTTCCGTAAACATCTCCTGTGCTCTTTACACGTCGCAGTATAGAGTAACAATGCAGGATTGGAACGGGCAGTGAACAGGACACGTGCAGTGCATCAACACAACACGCTCTGACAGTGATTCACACACGGCTCCAACCTGCCACGGAGCATCCTGGCAGCTCGTTTGGACTCACCTGTGGACAGAAACAGGTGGCGGCCATACGTCAGTCACACCTGAAGCCAGTTACACTGGAGGGAGGTTCACAACACGCTGTGGCTGAGCTCCCTGCACTGAAGACAACAGCTGATAAAAGACTGCAGTGCAGGAACAACTCCAAGCTGTTCTGCAGACTCGAACTGTCCATCGACATGTGAAGGAAACGAAAGGCAGGACCGCCCACTGCTGGGACAGGAAAAAGCCGCCTTGGAGTTTACCACAGTGCACGACGAGACCATCAGAGAACAGAGCGAGGCCTACCAAGGAGACCACACAGTAGCTACAGTCAGACACCGTTGCTGCCTCTGGCCTGACGGTGTGCGAGGCATCATGAGATCTGAAGACTACCAGTGTAGGGTCAGTGTGAGACAGCTGGGTCAGAGGTCACGGGACCGGCAGGACCCCGACACGCCTCTGTTTGTGTGAAGACGACACGCTAATCTGAATCCCACTGATCACGCATGGAGACGTGTCAGAACTGCGCCCTCCAGATGGCAGTTTGCAAAAGGAGAGCGGTCGACCATCGCAGGCCAGACGTGCAGCTTGTTGATGAGAGAGGTGACCGACTGCAGTTATTCTTCGGAGCTGTGTGTGAAACGCTGTCAAGTCTTTAGTGTTGATCCACTGCACATACAGGAAGTAAACATGTGTACACCAAAACAGCTCTGTGGGAGAAATGGTGCTTCTGCTGGGAACACTGGGGGGTTCGTACGGGCGCTTCATTAATGGGGGACAACTTGTGCTGTGTTCAGATGAAAATGTCCTCGACTGTGGGAGGAGTTTAATGTGGACTCTATAGGTGGGGGATGATGTCATCTTTCAAAAGCACTGTTATACTGTCCTGTTGTTGAAAGAATCGATTCTGAAACTCCACAGTATCCAGTCAGTCCCATCACACAGGCCTGCTCAGATCCACAGCAAACACACAATCTGATCTGTCCTTCCCTCAGATTCACTCCATCCACCAGAGGAGGAAGGTGGTGGGCCGCAGCAAGAACTTTGACCAGCTAGTGGCAGAACTCAAGACCAGGGTTCGAGAAAAAGGGAGCCCAGCCCTGGAGGGAGGCTCCTCGACGGGACAGTCCCTCAGCCCAGAGGCCCCCAGGGAGCAAGCTGGTACTCCACACTGCAGGAGACCTTTGGTCACCCTCCCTGCCTTCAGGTTGTGAAGAATGCTGAAGCTAAGGATGCTTATAGAAGAAGTTAGGACTCTTCTAGAGATAAATAATCATCTTTTTACTGATTATAGCGGCTCAAACATGGTTTGGCTTGCAGGATTCATGTGTAGTCAGCTGCTGGGCAACTGTTTTATCAAGCAGCTAACAGCTGCTGCTGTAACATAGACGTGCTGGACTGATGGTCTGCTAAGCTAACACCCAGGTGTTCGTTCTGTTACATAATCCCCAAACAGAGCAAGTTTAAAGGCTTCTCAGATGAGTCCACCAGTTCGCGGCTCAGTACAGCGTGTGCATCAAGTGTAGGGAAGGAGCTGATGTGGTGCTGCTGAGGGTGTAACTGGATCTGGATGGTCCTGTGTGTGTTCTAGTTGGCCTACGGCTGTGGTAGAGAGTGCCCCAGAGGAGGAGAGCCAGCGGTCGGATGAGGGTAATCCCAGAGTCCCCTCGCCTCTGGTCCACGGACGAATCTCGAGCGATGAAAGCGAGGCCGAAGGAAACGACGAGCGAGCTGAGTTTCCATCTTCGGCTGCGCATCCCAGACCAGCGGCGGTGAGACTTACTGGGGCTCAGCAGCCACAGAGCCCAGCCTCTGATCACCACAGGCTGAGACGTTACACAGGGACAGGAGGACGCCCA